ATTGTCACTCTACGATCTTGCTGTCGAATAATTATTGAATAATTGAACAATCGCTTAGCTATTGGCACGTAATTCAACTCCAACTTTGCTCCTCGAAGACAAAACTTTGCAGCTTCGTCGTTCTCGATTTTCATCCTTGAAATCGTTCCATAGAATCTCGCTGACTTCACTCGCGGACTATGCGCATAATGTTATAGCGAGAGGCACTGATACACCGCGAGCCTCGAGAGAAAATTGCGTAATCGCAGCCGCTTTGATCGCATTGGCCCCGCGTAAAAACTAATTGCAGTCGGGGCAATAAGGGCCTCGTTAGGCCCGAGACAGAAATCATCGCCCTCCCCTCTTTCGCCTCTCATAATTGCCGGTCGAGCAATTAATTTATTTCGCCGCTCTCCGGCCGTTTCGCGCCGCGTCCTCGTCCCGCCAGAATCTCGTCGAGAATCGATAGACACTAGCGGAGCAATTAAGCAGCTTTCTAAATTCCAATTACACTTGGTAACCAATGGACGCCCGTTGTTATTACTTCATTGGCATTGACGCAATATTTTGTTTATAATTTTACATTTTCTTTCTTTTTTGTTTTGAGATTAATTTACACTGATATATTTATATTAACGCAATATTTCGTTTTATAATTTTCCATTTTCTCTTTTTTTGAGATTAATTTACATTGATATTTATATCAACGCAATATTTTGTTTATAATTTTCCATTTTCTTTTTTTTTTTTTGAGATTAATTTATATTGATATTAACGCAATATCTCGTTTATAATTTTGCATTTTTTTGTTTCTTTGAGATTAATTTACATTATTATTTTATAGTTTATGGTTTATAATTTTCTATTTTTTCTTTTTTTTAAGATTAATTTACATTGATATTTATATTAACGCAATATTTCGTTTATAATTTCCCTTTTTTTTTTCTGAGATTAATTTACACTGATATTTATATTAACGCAATATTTCGTTTATAATTTTGCATTTTTTTGTTTCTTTGAGATTAATTTACATTACTATTTTATAGTTTATAGTTTATAATTTTCCTTTTTTTTTTTTTTTTTTTTTTTTTTTTTTTTATTTTTTTTTTTTTTTTTTTTTTTTTTTGAGATTAATTTACATTATTGACGTTTTAATTTACATTATTGAGTTTTAACGCTAAGTGGTTATTAAAGAAAGTGACAAGGATTTGCTTAATATTTCCATTCAAATGCTAAGATTATACGAGGCTTTAAACTTCAAATCGCAGTTCATCGAATTTTAATCGTGATTTAATCCGACTGACAGACTTTTTGACTATTGATGCATTTGTGAGAAATGCGCTGATGCATTTCAAAAAATACGCAAAAGTACTCACTGTAACACATACAACTCTGTAACGAGTAAAATAATTTTTGACCTATGTTCCATTTTTTTAATTACGTTACATTTTATTATTATGTTTTTATGTATTATGAAGGTTAGTATGTGGTGAATAAAAGAAAGTTCAAGAGTCTAAACGACGAGGAAATATAGCACACTTTTAGAAAACTGAATTGCATACGATATTTTTTATTTTTTTTAAATTGTACGCCATGTTCTTTGATGCTTAACTAATTAATTAGATTGGAATAAATAATACACGCGGCTTACCACAAACTGTCCATTAATTACGAGATTGCGATCGATTATGCTAAAAATCTCGTTGAACGCCAATTACAGAAAATTCGATAGAATATAAACGGCTTTTGTTTTATTATTCGTTTTTGTTCGATGCTGTTGAATTTAAATGTCAATGGGCATATCCATACGGACCAATTAGCTCGTTTCTTTCTCTTTTTATACTTACTACGTCCGGCGAAAAATTGAACATATATCTATGTAGAACGTTTTTAAGTAGGTTAATGACGAGATTATTAACCAAGTCAGCTCGAAATACATATTCAATTAGCGTGGCCATTGCGGCTCATCTAGGAACGGGTGAAACCGAGTTCAAATCCACATTGATCGCCGCTGAATATGTCTTTTGTTGCACGTGCTATTATATATTTTGATTGTGTGGATGTCAAATTCGTTGTTTCTTTGTTAGGAACTTATAATTTTTAGAGAAACGAGATTTAGCCAGAAATTCGTATAAGGAGTACAAAAATCTTTAACTTTTTAAAAGTCATTGTAAAGAGGACATTTCCCTTCGCAAAGTTATTTTGAAAATTCAAAAAAAAAAAGAAGAAGAAGAAATTGAGTTGCTTGAAAATTATAAAATTTGTGAAAGAAAAAAAAATGTGAAATGTAATTTCGTTTTCTGAAAATGCCATATGTATTCTATTGTCCGCCAGTGTATACACCAGCACCTTCGTCTCTTCTTCTTCGCAAGAAACTTTGAAAAAAAATTCTCTCACGCAGCGCGGAACACGCAGATACGTATTTCGTAGAGATTTATATCGGCGAGAAGCGTTTTAGTAAAATAACGTTGAAACGCCAGACGTCAGATTTTTCCCGACGATTGTTCATTAAATGTAGCCCCGTTAAAGCGATTCTTTCTTAGAGATAGAGCAGGGAAAATCACGATTCCTTGGTCGGTGTGAAAAAAAGACGCGAGCGCCCTCAGCTTCCGCCGACCAACTTCCGTCCTAGACAAACTGACATCCGCCATGATGACTCTCTCAATTTGGTCTTCCTCAAATAATGAAATCCTCGAGATGTCCCTTGAAATTAAAACAGTCGACAAATTGCAAATGCAATAAAATAAAGACGCTCTTTTTTGCAATCAAAAGCTTGACTAATTATGACGTCGACAGCAAAAGTAAACTCGACCATTTTTATTTAATATTTTTTTTTTAAAAGTTATTGGAGTAAATTAATTTAAATTAATTTGAATTGTCCTTCTTGGGTTGTTATTTTTCTTGAAACATCTTTCAGACGTTCAACTTGAAACTATGAGCTGAATAAAGTATAACAAGTACAGACACAACTCTCGTATAATAACACAATTCTACGAGCATAACTCGACTAAAAGAATTTCAGGATTCCTTTTAAATGACAAGCATAAATGCGCGATAATTCTGGTAAAAAAAAATATTACAGTCATTTATTTCTGATTCTTGCGTCCTTGACCAAACACTCGAAATGAAATTTAGTCAAACGAGAAAAGTTAGACTTTAATAGCGATTTGTATACTTACGCTGCAAACGTGACGTATTTTAATTTACACAACTGAAAAAGGGTACTGAATATATAATATAACCGCGAAAACCGCGGCACATTACCAGTACGTTACTCGACTCATTATATAGTTCGTTGACCACTGGGGTTAATCCACTTTTGTTCTCGAAACCTCAATTGACCGGCTATCGCGAACAGCCGAGTTGAACAATTCGCGGTTCATTGTTGAGCACGGAACCAACGGTAGCAGAAATAGAAATTCGATATGATAATGCCCGCTTTGAATCAACGAATTCTGCTGCGGGCGAACGTGAAAATGTTGAGAACGTAACGAACTACCTGCGAGAGAGAGAGAGAGAGAGAGAGAGAGAGAGAGAGCATCGAAGGCCAGCGTTGACCGGGCCACTAATGACAAGTTAACGAGCAAACCCCGGAATGCCGTGCTCGTTAAACACGTTGAAAATGTAAAAAGAAAAAAAGGAAAAAAAAGACTCGAGCCCGTAAATCTCACGCCATTAAGCGTTCAGCGCCGGTGCTCGAGCTGGTTTCCGCGATTTCGATGGCTAAATCAGCGTGCGTGTCGACTGCACACGGTCGCGAAACACGAGGAACGAGACACGTGCCAAAGCGGAAAAATCTCAGCCAACGAATTATAATTAGTGGCTACGATTTTCGCGTTTCACGCTCTAAATTGGAATCGCGTTCAGACAGTCATTTCCCTTACCCTCCCCCGATCCTCGAACGCGTTGCCGGCCTCTGACCGCTTATCGTCGAGCGTGTCGGACCATGAAACGTTTGAGAACTAGCTTCCTCCTCGAGAGGACAAGAAGAAAGGACGACGTATTTTTTTTTTTTTTTCTCTTTGTCTCTGGAACAGAAGTCTCTTTATTTAGAACCGGTGGTGGAAGTGTCAGGTGAATTGAAAAGCGTGACCGTGACAGAGAATCTACGGGCAACAACCGTGTTTTAACCACGTTGCGCTGGCAACTGATTGCGGACCGTAACGAGTGACCAAACCGAGATGCAATAATTCGTCGCTTTCCTTTTGAAACTCGTCGATATGATATCACTGGATTTTCGGAAATTATTGAGAAGTAATAAATTTATTATTTGCCTGGATTATACCTAAATATACTTAGAACTGAGAAAATATTGCAACTTTGGGGCAAAAAGTTCTCGACGTGCGTGGCACAAGAGATTAACTTCGACCAGGGTGTTCTATAATTTTAAATTTACAGCTTGTGTCAGGTTTAGTAATTGCGATCCATGTTGAACGTAGCATTCGTTTCAGTAAATGGAAGCAGCGTTCAGTAATTTTCTTTGCATATTTTCATTTGAGAAAAATGTTTAACGAAGAATTACTAAATATGTATAGAGAAGTTGATGGTTCTGTATAAAATTCGTGCGAGATCGTATTATATTTAACACTAAAACTGCCGACGACTAAAGTATAATATTTTTGGCAAAGGAGTTAAAGTGCAAGGTACGAAAAAAAGTTAATAATACAATAAAGAACACAAACTTCTGTTAATATACTTTCTTAAAAATCACTATCTAGTAATATACTGTCGCAAATATACTGCTCACAAAAATCAGGGGATGTTTCAAAATGAATATGAAGCAATAGATCAGAAAAGAAAATGACAAGTGAAAGAAAGTTGTTTTTGTGTAATAAAAAAAAAAATCAAATACTTTTCTTTTTTTATCGCTTTAGATTCATTTTGAAACATTCCCTAATTTTTATGAACAGTGTATGCAAAATTTCCATGGGAAATGACAAATTAGTCATTTCGACCACTTTAGGTAGTTCCAGTGTTAAAATGTTGAATACCAGTTGATCCAAATGATCTTACCCTATTAGAAAGTTACTTTCAATCGACACAAAAATTCTTCGAGTCGGATAGGTCAATAATACGGTGGTCGGTCGGTAACCACACGATAACCGATCGATCCTTACACCACTCTTGTGCAATCTCTTCAACATCTATCTTCGGACGAGAAAAATCCATCACAGACCGGGTGATAGAACGAACCAGTGAATTGCTCTCTTACGAAGGAGGTCGCCAGTGGTAACCTAATTACACCGGAGAAAAATCCACTACCGATCGCTACGATGTCGTAATATCGCGTGGCCAGTCGCTCCATCGTCGCGTTGCCTCGCGTAACCGACCGTGACGAAGAGACCGTGTCGTGTAACCGGCTTGTTGTGCAGTTTCTTTTTTAGCGTCGATCGCGAAACAAAAGCGGAAGTGCGGCCAGCATCGTCGTGCGATATTAGTCGATATTGGTGTCGGTGCGCTCGTTTCAAAGAACGTGGGGACAGTTTGGTGGTTCGAGCGAAAGATGCTGCTACAGTGAGGGAGGAACAAGCGGAAGCAACGTGGCGGGTTTCACCGTGGCCGTGAACAATGGCTCCGCGGAGCCAGGTTACTACGTGGACCGATTGCACCACCAGCAAAGGCTGCAGATACAGCAGCAACACTGTCAACAAACGGCGAGATACAGCGTGCAGCCGAGTCATGTCTCTGCGCCGGGCAAAGAGATCCTGGATACGGCCCCGCGAAGGGACCTGGTGTACGTTCACTGCGCCACCACCGAGGACGAGGACGCCGAGGAGGAGGAAGAGGAACCGAAAGGACTAACCAGGTCTAGGTCGTGGCTCTGCTGCCCTGCTGATCATAGCTCCGACAGAACCGTCCCGATACAGGTCGAAGCTAGTCACAGGGAGAAGCAGCAAGAGTCCGTAAGTTCAGACAACGGATGAATCATCCACGAAATTCATACTGCTCACAAAAATTAGTGGACATTTCATAAATGAATGTGAAGCGATAAAAAAGAAGCATTTGATTTTTTTTTTTTTATTAACCCCTTGCGCTGGCAACTGACTTGCGGACCATAACGAGTGACCGAACCGTATACAGTAATTCGTCGCTTTCTTTTTCTTTTGAACTCGTCGGTATGACGAGCTAATAAACTTATCATTTGTTTCGCCTGGGTGACATTTAAATATACTTGAAACTGAGAAAATGTTGCAATTTTGGGACAAAAGATTCTCGACGTGCACGTCATTCCAACGTAAGAGATTAACCACGATTGCGGACCATAACGAGTGACCAAAACCGTATACGATAATTCGTCGCTTTCTTTTTGAACTCGTCGGTATGACATCATTGGATAGAAATTATTGAGAAGTAATAAATTTATTATTTGTTTCGCCTGAATTATACTTAAATATACTTATACTAAAACTGAAAAAATTTTGCAATTTTGGGACGTGCGTGGCACGTCATTTCCAAAGTAACAACTTTCTTTCAGTTGTCGTTTGCTTTTCTGATGGTCTTGTTTAATGAAAAAAAATCAAATGCTTCTTTTGTTATCGCTTCATATTCATTTTAACATATCCCCTAATTTTTGTGAGCAGTATATTTTGGGATTCAAGTTTCGGGGAATAGCGTGACTCGAACAATTATTTATCCGATGGATAAGAGACGGGAATTTCTTTCGCAGTAGTTTTCATTATCGATTGATTCCATAGAGTTTCCTTTTTTTTTTTTTAATCTGAATGATGTAATATCCGAAACATGTCTGCGTCGATATTGATCTCAGTGTTTTAGTTTTAAATTGATCAGCCAACATCAAATTGAGACTAGGTTCAATTTCGTCGATGATAAATTAGTCAGTAACTTCTGATCGTTTGTAACTTCTGGAAATTGATCTTAATATTAAATCGATCGGTGGAGATCAGGTTTGAAGTTAAGTTCAATTTTATCATCAACGAGTTAGTAATTACATAGTTTAGTAACTTCTGACACGTTCATTGTCCGAGCCTCGAACGTTACAGTTTGCAATAAAATGTAAATATAATTTTGTAAATTGCGTTAGTTACATTTGACGATATTTTTTTTAATAAGATACAGAAAAATAAAAAAAAGTGATACGTATCAAAACATCACGTACGTTGCACGGGACAGTGATAATATTACTTAGAAAGTTAAGATTCAATCTATTATACATAGAAGCTTAACTGTTCGTTCGAATGAAACAATTTCTCGTTAAAATATATCATGAATCAATCAAAAACCGATATATTCATCGTTCATTTAGACAATAATTTACGAAAGTGTGTTACGTACAGGCGTGAAGCGTGAAAGAATTGAAACTTCATTTGAAAGTTCAACCGTCTCATTAACCTCATCAACCCACCCATCCACGATCGTTCGATTCAATCTTCAGCCAGGCTTAATGAACGAGCAATAAAAGACGTGGAACACTCGCGTTTAAATATTACATTCCACGAACCCCTTCTGCCCGAAGCTTTACGTGCCAATTCACGATTGCAGCTGTTCCAGCCGATAATTCAAGATTTATCCCATCTTCTATATCGCGTTCAAGTCCTTCATACAGACTTTGCTTCATCGATCGATCGAGTCGCTTCAAACCAAATTGAAACACATTTGAGAACAACCCATCGGAGGGAATAATTTTCACTGGTTTGCCCCCCCGTTATTGATCAAAAGGACTCGGCACAGTAGAAACGGGGGAAACGGCAGGAAAGAAACGCGAGGAAGAGGCGGCGAGATTCGTCGGCGTGTCATCGAACGCGTTAACGAAACAAGGTACAAGCCTACCGCCACAGGCAGAAAGCATTTCGACACCCGATAATGGAGTTCCGTAATTTTTGCCGGTGTCGTATTCGACTCGAGAGGGGGGACTGGGAACAGAGAAAGAGATAAAGAGAGAAAGAGAATGGATCGAGATCGATCCGTCTCTCAGGAACAGGACGACGTGTTCCTGCCCTTCCGGTTCTCTTTCACCCTCTTCCTCCCCTCACTCTCACCACTTTCCTCTCCACATTCACACCGAAAACGGCTCGTTCATTTTTTATCCCTCTCCGTCTTCTCTCGTTCTCCACACGTCACGTTTAGATTGTCTTTTCCTCTCATATCTATCTCTGCGTCTCGGTTCTTCTTGCTCACCCCCAGAGCTATTCTATCTCTCTCTCTCTCTCTCTATCTCTATCTCTCTCTATCTATCTGAACACAGTCAACCCCTCGGTCTATATAGCTGAATTCAGTTCGTCTGGCGTTGTCTTTGTCGACCTCCGTCCCTCTGTCTGTCTCTCCGCGAGCTTATGCAGAATCGAGCACTGCCCTTTAAACTTTAATCCGGCAGGAATAGAGCAGCGGCGGACGAGCCGCAGCTAACCAACCGGACGATCGATTTCACAGAGGAATTTCAAATAAACTTTCCTGTCCCTCCCCCCCCCCTTTTCCCAACCCCTTAATTTCGTTTGTCCCGCACCGACACCTCCACCTCGGGCTCTCCCCTCCTCGACGCTTCTGTCCGATACCATATTTTCCGTCAAATCACCAGACCAGGCTACGCCGTCTGTCCATCACTGTCTGATTTCCCTCTTCCTCGTCCTCGATGTTTGGACCAAACGTTCACGTACATACATACATACATACATATATACTTGGATCGATTGCCTTTTCTCTGTGTCCTCTTACAATTAGATCCGTCTAGCGTGAGATTTTAACATTGATCTTGAGGGGGGCTGTTCGGTTGGAAACGTGAAATTATTCAAACATCGAATCGCGGAGAATCTTGAAATTTCGTTGGCGGAGTAGGATTTCACGCGTCTGTGGAAAATTGAAGGTTACAGAAATGCGCGTCCAGTGGATGTGATATAAAACAAAGTGTCGAAAATGGGGTATATTATAATATACAGGGTGTAACGGGTTAAGTTTTTAGGCATTTCCGGTAAGTGCAATTGAAAAATGTTTCAAACAAAATTTTGTTGGTATTCGGTGGGCTACGTGTTCCCATATTCTTAAATCTCAAAAAATACTTTTAAACGTAAAAGGTGACTCTTTCAAATGGCACCATATGTTTTTGATATCATACAGTTATAATACACTGAATTATACTTATAGTATAGTATACTTCACAGTATAATACTTTGAACATTACATTACATTACAGTATAATACTTTGAACATTACGTTACATTACAGTATAATACTTTGAACTGACTTACGCTGGCTGTTTTCGTTCTCGACATCAGCAACAATCCTATGATATCAAAAACATATGGTGCCATTCAATCAAGTCAAGGTGACCTTGACTTTTTTACGCAAAAAGCATTTCTTGGGATTTAAAAATATGGGAAACGTGTAGCCCATTGAATACTAAAAAAATTTTGTTTGAAACATTTTTCAATCGCACTACCGAAAGTGTCTAAAAACTGGTGATAAAACTTAACGCGTACACCCTGTATAGTAGATACAACAAATCTTTTTTAATCTCTGTTCCTTGATCATATTCGTAAAAATATTCATGAAAATCTCGAAATGCATGAAATCCGCGTTCATTATTATACAGGGGTTGGTCAAAATAATGGAAACTCCTCGTTCACTTGGAATATTCTTCGTTAACACATTCGCGATCGATAGTCCTGCGTTCATTTCAAATTCTTTAGCTGAACGCCGGTCATTTAAAATTTGTTAACTGGATACAACGTCATTTCAAAATTGACTCTCCTGCTGGCCGTATCACTAAATTTTATATCGCTGTATATAATCGTCAAATATCGCTGAATATAACAATTGATCAAGTTTACAAAGTGAATAGTAATAACACTTGCATGATATAAAATGGATTATTCGTCATTTGTTTTGTATCAAAGTTATCAGTGTCTTCGTTTCAAATTTCGATCAGGTCATACATTTTCCTTACACGTTGATCATTTAAAAGAAACCTTTACTATGCAACGACGCAATTTATTTGTTTCATACGAGCTGTTCCGATTAGTTTGTCTGACTTTCGAAATTTCGAAATATATGTAGAAGTTGCAAGTTATTTACAAGGAAACATAAATTTGCTAAAAAAAAAAAAAAAAGAATTAGTATATAAGATGTACAGTGGTGTTTAACACCTAATTAACGTTGAAGATAGTTCCTTTAAATACCATAGAGTACTAATATAGCGAATAATTGACTGTTTAAGTATTTTAATGATCTCTGCGTAATTGTTACACTTCGGAGAAGCTTCGCTATACATTCTCAGGCCAGTGTGATAAGTGTGAAACTTGCCGTCGCAATCGCAATTGAATTCAACGTCACGTCGTCCGCGACAAAACCTGATCTATTATGAACGAAATAATTTCCAATATTATTACATTATTCGTATTCAATAATTTTCAACGTTATCGAGCACCCTTTCGCTCAGCCAATTTCCGAAAATTTTACCGTGTTTGCCACAAAGCGGGTTACCCGCGCTAAACGAGATCATCGTTTGAAAGGATCCTCTTCACGTACGGGAAGAAGACGGAGATGCCATTTTGCTGGCGATGTCCTTGCATTGAGCCAGAGAATAGACGTGTCTGTGGGTTACCTCTTTTGTCCCAG